CGACTTTTTGTGAGCAAAAACAGAGCGATAGAGAGAGAAAGTGCGAAGAACACATCCTAGAAGTGATTTTGGGGTTGGGTTTCATCAATCGAGCTTGGAGATCATCACATGAGTGAAGATTGACATCCTAGAGCAGATTCTTCCCATTGTTATGAGTATGACTGCTTTGTATTTTGTTTCCCTCTCTCTCTCTCTCTCTCTATGGAGTAGAACTTTCTCTCACTAGGGTATGAAGAACCCTAGTTCCATGTGTTAGGAATCTGATTGTAATTACGTTTGGATTGTGATATTACTTGATTATAATCGATTGAAGTGTTTTGAACGAGTCAATTGAAGTCTGATCATCTTTTATTGATTTTTGCTGCAACCTGAGATAGATAGAATCTGACTAGGTTGTTAGAGCTTCATCAATCGGTAGTAGTGAATCGATTATACGAGAGTTAGTCGATTCACTGCTTTGTACTGGAATCTAATTCCAGTAGTGGAGTTCTGTGTTCATTGCCTCAGCATTCTATCCCGGTGAAGACTAGTCGTCTGCTGGGTAGTTTGATTGAGAGGGCTTGGTCAGCTTAAGAGATTCGAAGCTACTGTCGGATCTTCCGCAGTATAATCAACAGTAAAGAAACCAAAAGTAATTACAACTGTGACCTAACTAAGGAGCTAGGGTGACTCATTCCCGAGTGACTCTTCCTTTGTTTTAGAAAACCAAACCATTTCCTGCTTTCTTACTGCTTTTACTTAAAATAACAATCAATCAACTTAGTTTGCTAGATAATAGATAATCAAGGAATAAGCAGTAGATCTGGACCTCGGGTTGACAATTAGAGCTTGCCTGTTACTGCATTTCTCGACTGCGATTACGCTTGATTGCAGTTTGGTGTTGTGTTTTGGTGTGTCAAGTTTTTGACGCTGTTGCGGGGGACCCTCTAGGTTATTGGAGAAACGTGAAAGTTAGTTACTCTAGCTTTTTCTTTACTGCATTTTCTCTCTTCCACCTGTGTGCCTTCACAGGTTGCTTTTGCTGATTGTGTGCAGGTAGTGCATGACCCGCATCAGCCTCTCTACCCGCCCTAACAGGGGCCAGTTCCACTTCAGTCACAGGTGCAACCATTTCATCAAACAGGGGAAGCACCTACAACCCAGTACAGAGTGACCCGATGGCGGAATTGCGAGATCTGGTGGGTTCTCTGGCCACCTCCAGTGCAAACAAGTTCAATAACGTCCAACAGTTCATGGAGAAAGCTGTAGGTAAATTCTTGGAGCTAGAAGCTGGTTAGAGAAACACGCAGGCTGTGCTGTGGGATATCCAGACCCAGCTTGGGAGTGTTGCCTAGGCTGTAGATCAGAAGACTCCTGTTACTCTACCCGGCCAGACCATCCCTCATCCGCAGGACCCAAATGAGCACTGCAAGGCCATTACCACCAAGAGTGGCAAGGTGACTGCTGATCCACCTGTTCGGGCACAAGAAAGAGAGAGACCCCTGCTTCAGCACTTCCTGCTAATGAGGAGGAAATGGAGAAGGAGATTGAGGTTCCTGCTCCTAAACCGCAACCAGTGGTGAAGGAATATGTACCGCAGCTTCCCTTTCCTACTCAGTTGCACATGGACCGACTGGAGACTGAGTTTGCCAAGTTCATGGCAATGCTGAAGCAGGTAACATAAGCATGCCCTTCGTGGAGGCATTATCGAAGATGCCCAAGTATGCTAAGTTCATGAAGGATCTCCTCACCAATAAGAGCTGTCAACGGTGATGCTCAACGAGGAGTGTTCTGACATCCCGCAGAACAAACTACCAGAGAAGCGAAAAGACCCAGGGAGTTTTACTATCCCTTGCATGATTGGTAGTTTGCATATAGGGAAATCCTTGGAGGATTTAGGCGCTAGCATTAATGCCATGCCATATAAACTGTTTAAAAAGCTAGGCCTAGGTGAACCTAGTGATACTAGGATAAGCATTCAACTTGCTGATATATCCATTATGCACCCTAGGGGAATTGCAGAAGACTTGATAGTCGCAGTAGGGCCATTCTCATATCCTGTTGATTTTTTGACATAGGATGTGGATGTGCCTTTAACATTTGGTAGACCTTTTCTTGCCACCGCCAAGGGGCTCATTGATGTGAATGATGGGAAATTGATTTTGCGAGCTGGGGGTGAACAAATCACCTTCTCTGTTTCTGATAATATGAAGCACCCCCAACTCCATGATGATCTAGACTACTGCGATGTTGTTGCTGATTTTGAGACCGCACTCGCCATCACGAGTGCGGGTACTGAAGATTTCCTTGAGCGTTGTCTTGTGCTAGGGGAACAGGCATCACAGGATGTGCAGCTCGCCGAGTTAGACGAGGCCGCGATCGAGGGGCGAGAGATACCATTCAAGCCGATCCCTATCTCGCCCCGGATCGCTACATCATTGGAGGAGCGGCCAGAGCTGGAGTTTAAGCCCCTCCCCTCTCACCTGGAGTATGCATTTCTCCGGGAGGGGAATAAGCTCCCGGTCATTATCAGCTCGTATCTGACACCCGAGCAGAAGAGTAGACTGGTGGCTCTGCTGCAGAAGTACGCCCGGGCCATGGCATGGAAGATCACAGATATCAGAGGAATTAGCCCATCCTTCTGATCCCACAGAATTCTGATGGAGGATGAGTTTAAGTCAGTCAGGCAGCCACAACGGAGATTGTCTCCCAACTTGGAGGTAGTGGTCCGGGTATAGATTATGAAGCTCATGGATGCAAGGATCATCTTTGCTATATCTGATAGCAAGTGGGTCAGCCCCACTTAGGTGGTCCCAAAGAAAGGCGGGATGACTGTGATCCCGAATGAGAAGAAAGAGCTGATCCCGATGCAGACCGTGACCTGCTAGAGAGTCTACATCGATTACTGGCGCCTGAACGACGCCACCAGGAAAAATCATTTTCCCATACCTTTCATTGATCAGATGATGGAGAGGTTGGCTGGTCATGAGTTTTATTGCTTCCTGGATGGCATGTCTGGTTATTTCCAGATTCCTATTGCACCAAAGGATCAGGCGAAGACCACATTCACTTGCCCCTTCGGTACTTTTGCTTACCGGAGGATTCCATTCGGGCTGTGTAATGCACCGACGACCTTCCAGAGATGCATGCTGGCGATCTTCCACCGACTGGTCGGAGAGATCAGGGAAGTCTTCATGGATGACTTCTCGATTTATGGAGACTCATTCACTCATTGTCTCCATAACCTGGAACTCGTTTTGAAGAGGTGCGAGGAGACTAATCTGGCACTCAGCTGGGACAAGTGCCATTTTAGGGTACGTGAGGGAATTGTGCTCGGGCACAAGATCTCCAAGCAGGGGATTGAGATGGATGGTGCGAAGATCGAGACGATCATTCAGCTACCTCCTCCCATTTCTGTGAAGGGGATTCGCAGCTTTCTGGATCATGCAGGCTTCTACCGGCGCTTCATTAAAAATTTCTCGAAGATTGCCCTGCCTCTGACCAAGCTGCTGGAGAAGTATGCACCATTCCAGTTCACTCCCGAGTGCACAGCGGCATTCAAGACTTTGAAGGAGAAGCTTGCCCATGCACCCATCATGGTGACTCCCGACTGGTCTCTTCCCTTTGAGCTAATGTGCGAAGCGAGTGACTATGTAATCGGAGCCGTTCTGGGTCAGAGACGCGGGAAGCATGATAACGATGTAATTGCACATATTTGCACCCCTAATTCTTATCCGTTTGAGAGGCATAGTCGTGTATTTTGGCTTATTTTACGCTGGGTTGTGCTATTTTGTCATATTTCAGGTCCCAGGTGTCAAAGGAAAGGCTAAGCACGAGTTTCGGGGCATTCGGAAGTCATTTTGTCAAGCTGGAGCCAAAACACGGGCACACCTAAACCATTACACGGCCGTGTTCTGTGGCCGTGCTTTTACTGCCGAGAGCAAATTTGAGTTTGGCAAACATTGGCAAAACACGGGCTGAAAGCACGGCCGTGTTCACCCAAAGCACGGCCGTGTCCTCTCCAAAGCACGGCCGTGTTTGCACCAATGCACTGGCCGTGTAATTAACCCTAGCCAAAGCACGGGCGGGCTGAGGCATTACACGGCCGTGCCCTCGACCGTGCTTTGGTCACTGATGCCTTTTTAAGCAGATTTTCAGCCAAAGAGAAGGGGATTCGAGTTTTAGAGAGACAGAACGATTCCTAGAGAGAGAAAGCGACGAACAAGAGTCTCCAAGTTCCCTAGCTTGATCTTCAACACCATTGGAGGCCAGTTTGAGCTTGGAGAAGTGCCGATCAACGTCCAGGAGCAGGAATCCATCCTTCACAGTATGAATTCCGCGTCTGATTCTGCTTTTGCTTCTTTCTCCATGGAGTAGTTCTCCCATTCATCTGGGTATGGAGAACCCTAGATTTGTATGTTAGGCTTTGATTGTATGAACCCAAGTACTAATTCTATGATTTGATTATATTCGATTGAGGTTTGAATGATTGAATGGCATGAATCCTGATCAAATTCCTGTTGTTTCTGCTTTAACCTAGAATGAGAATATCTGCCTAGGTTGATAGAGCATCCTTGATTGAAGATAGGGAGTTGGTGACTTTAGTCGAGGAGCCAACTGACTATTCTGTACCGGATTTACTCCGGTAGTGGAGGTTTTGTTCTTAGGGCCTCAATTTGTCGACTCCGGTGGAGGTTAGTCGCCCGCTAGAGAGTCAGATTGAGAGGGTCTGAAGACCTTTAGTCGAGACTTCAGGCTATTTAAGAACCTTCCGCAGTATAATCTTCATAGAAACTGAACTTGGTAATTACAATCCGGCTTAACTGCAGTCTAGGGGGAACCATATCCAGGTGACCTCTCTTAACCTGAATACAACAGTTTACTTGCTTTGTTTGTTTGGTAGTTTAGACTTGCATTCCAGTTTCATTGCTAGATAACAAGAATTCACTGAGTATTCATCAGATCTAGGGTCGGGTTGATAATTAAACCCAAACCCGCTATACTACGCTTTAGGAAGTGGTGTCACTTGGCCAATTCCTGGAGTGACAGTAGAAGTGAGTCAAGTTTTTGGCGCCGTTGCCGGGGACGGCTAGGTTGTTGAAGAAAAGTGGTTTCTGTTAATTTAGCTTTTCTTTTTGCTTTGTTTGCTTTGTCCCACTTGTGCCTTCACGGGTTTGCTTGCTTGAGTGTGTGCAGGTAGTGCATGACCCGTAGCCAGTCAGGAGGTTTACTGCCGTTGATTCCAGAGATTGACCGCACCTGTCGCAAGCTCAGGAGACAACAGCGAGCTAGACTGGCTACGGAAGAGCGCATAGACGGCCACCTGAGTAGCGATTCTGAAGAAGAGTGCGGGATGGACGGAGACTACAATCAGCACCAGGGGAATCCTCAGCAGGTTCCCCCGGTGAATCAGGTCCTGGGGAACAACCCCATACCCCAGGATCATGGAGTTCATCATCCACCGCAGCCGGGTCCCACCTTGGAGTACTACTACACTCCGCGGATTGCTGACATCCGCCCGGTCATCCTCTACCCGCCTATTCCAGCAAACAACTTTGATATCAAGCCATGCTGGATTCAGCTCATTACATCCTCTATCCAGTTCCATGGCTTGAAGTATGAGGAGGCCAGGGTACATCTTTCCCGTTTTCTACAGCTGACGAACGGGTTCAAGCTGAATGGTGTCCCGGATGACGCGATCCGCCTTCATCTCTTCCCCCATTCTCTGGCGGGGAATGCTAAGAGGTGGTTGGAGACCCAGCCCCCATTGTCCATCACCTCTTGGGACGATCTGGCTGACAAATTCGTGCACAGGTACTATCCGGCATCGAAGACTACAGAGATCCAACGGGAGATCACTCACTTCCGCCAAGAGCCAGATGAGTCACTTCGTGATGCATGGGAGCGGTACAAGGGATATTTCTGGCAGTGTCCCCATCATGGCTTCAGTGATGCATTCACAGTGGGGAACTTCTACAGTGCCCTCTCTCCAGATAGCCAGAGGGTGATTGAGTCTCTATGCCCAGGAGGGGATATTCTTACTAAGACTCCACCCGAGCTGAACCAGATGATCAATACCTTGGCTGCCAGGGATCATTCTTGGGGGCAGAGCAGCCGAGGCAGACAGTCCCGGGACCGTGGTGTGCACGCCATGGAGACCAGATCCGGGCTCGAGCAGAAGGTAGCTGAGCTAGTGCAGACGTTGAAGCAGCCCAACAGTCTTATTCCGGGCAGAGGTTTGGCTACACCTCCAGTTGCTCAATGCCAGTGGTGTGAGAGCTCGAATCACCTAGTGGAGGACTGCCAGGCTATGAGGGAGTCTACCACTCCCCAAGAGCAGTTGGACTTCATCGCCAATGCTCGGCGCCTTGACCCGTACAACAGCTCATATAATGAGGGGTGGCGCCAGCATCCCAACTTCGCCTAGAGCAGCAACACCACTAAACCACCTGGTTTCCCAGCACCAGCAGGTGGTTTTCAGCAGAGGCAGCCCTTATAGGCTCGACAGGGGCCGACCCCACAGCAGCAGCCCTACCAGCCTAGGCAGGGGCAACCATTCCAGCAGCCCCAGCGCCAGTTTGCCGAGCCAACAGCAGCTCCAGCCCCAGATGACCGGATGACAAAGCTGGAAAATATTCTAGCTTCATTCATGACTAGCACTCAGGCTGCTATCACGTCACTGGAGGCAGGTCAGCGGAACCAGGGTGCCATTTTGCAGGATCTACAGACCCAGGTGGGCATCTTGGCCAGCCAAAACACTACCAGGGCACTGGAGACTCTGCCTGCTACCACTATCCCGAATCCTCGGGATCCTCACCAGCTCCAGCAGCTGGATGCCATTTTTACCAGGAGCGGTAATACCATATCTGCTGATCCTGTCCCGGCCAGACAGGAGGAACCACTACCTGCTTCAGCACTTCCAGCCGACGATGCAGAAGTGCGGGTGGAGAAGGAAGCTCCTGCTCCCAAGCCACAACCAGTGGTTAAAGAGAATGTGCCCCAGCTTCCCTTCCCCACTCGCCTACACAAAGACAAGCTGGAGACTGAGTTTGCCAAGTTTATGGCAATGTTGAAGCAGCTCAACATCAGCATACCGTTCGTGGAGGCACTGTCGAAGATGCCCAAGTATGCCAAGTTCATGAAAGATCTCCTCACCAACAAGAAGAAACTTGGGGATCTCTCGACAGTGTTGCTAAGCGAGGAGTGTTATGCTATCCTGCAGAACAAGCTGCCCGAGAAACGAAAAGACCCAGGGAGTTTTACTATCCCTCTTACTATTGGCAGCATGCATGTAGGCAAGTCCTTGGCGGACCTAGGCGCTAGCATAAATGTCATGCCATATAGGTTGTATAAAAAGCTAGACCTAGGTGAACTTAGCCCTACTAGGATGAGCATTCAGCTAGCTGATCGTTCCATTGTGCATCCTAGGGGAATCATAGAGGATCTGCTTGTCAGTGTCGGTGCATTCACATATCCCGTTGATTTTGTTATTCTTGATATACATGAGGATGTGGATGTACCTTTGATTCTGGGTAGACCATTTCTTGCCACCGCCAAGGCACTTATTGATGTGCATGATGGTCAACTGATCCTGCGTGCTGGGAATGAACAGGCTACTTTTTCTGTGACTGAATTTGATCTCTATGCTATGATTGCTGTCACGCCTGTACATGCCATTTCTGATCAGGTACACGAGCCTGTCGTGTATCCTTCTGCACCTCTTATTTTGCAGGACCCTCCTTCGCCGCCACTCCATCCAGCCTCGCCTCCGAACAAAAAGCTCAAGGAGGAGTGGCGGCCGAAGCCGCAGGTTGCTAAGCCTGCACGGAAGAAGGGTGGAGACCACTATGAGCTGGTCCCACCTCCTGCACCACGACCACCCTGGCCATCCAAGTACTCACTCGCCTGCATCTTGCCGGATGGCCAGGTCGAGTTGACTGATGATGGTGGTCGCATCCGTCGGGTGCATGGCCACAACCTGAAGCTGTACCTCAAGAGCGACGTGGATCCGCTCTTGGAGGCACCTGTTCCTGCACCTCCCTGAGTATTCACCATGGGCGTCCAGCTAAAAGACGGTAAAGAAGGGCTTGTGGGGAGGCAACCCCACCACGGTTTGACTTTCTTTCTTGTGTTTTGAGTCGGATTGTAACCCGGTTTGGGTTTGGTTTGTTTCTTTTGTTTTGGATGATGTATTATTGGGCTGACCATTGGACCTAACATATTGTGTTTGAGCTCTTCTGTTCCCCTTTAGTTGTGCTTTGTTCCAGACTGGTCCCTCTCCAGTCCGCTTCACTCGACTGGTCCGCTTCCAGCCTCCTGCAGTCCATGCATACCGGTAACATCGTTCCCCTTTCCCTTCTCTCTTCTCCATTGAGGGCAATGTCGATCTTAAGTGTGGGGGGATGTTTATCTTTTGAATGCATTAGATCTGTTTGTGTGCTTGGAGCCTAGTCCACTGTCCAAATTTTTAAAATTTGAGGGCTCCAAGTACGTGTTTCCGTGCAATTGCCTGCTCAGTATGCTTTGAATTGACAGTCTTTATAGTAATATGCAACCTAGGGAGGTAGTGTAGCACTATGGAGGATGTTGATGCATTTAAGAAGTCTCATTTCTTCTTCATATTGTGTTGGTTGATTGAGTGAATTAGTGATCTTAGGACCCTTGAATTGTGTGGTGTTGTGGACTCTCTACCTGTCATTGACTCTTGTATCATGTTTTGAGTTTAACAGGTGCTCGAAAATGGGCTTCAAAATAGTGTCTCCCGTGCGAATAGGGCGAAAGTGTGTAAGGGGAGACGGGAATCCGTTCCCAATTTCCACCTACTACTTCCAGCCCCCTTACATGTCTTTCCCCCGCATGAGGCTCGAGACATCCGCTCCTGGCATGGCCGGTAAGAGCAGGTTGGGACCCTTGAAAGAAAAAAAAGAAAAGAAAATAACAGAAAACAAGCAAAACAGAAAGAAAAGGGGTTCCAACCATCTTCAAAGAAAATAGAGCACCTTGAAAAATGTGAGTCCATGATCCTTTGTTTTTAAGAATCTCTTCATCCACAATTTATTTCTCCTCTGTTCACTATTTGCCATGATGCCGACTCGATACTAGTGCTCTCACCGAAGGAGCTATGAGATGACTTGTGCGTCGGTTGACCTCGTAAGTTGCTAAATGATCTAGGAAGTCCTCTACCTACGATATGGGTTGGTTGTTGCTATAGAGGTCTGGAGAGCTGCATTGGTTTGAGTTAGGTTTGCTTGGGGACAAGCAAACGGTTAAGTGTGGGGGAATTTGATAACGATGTAATTGCACATATTTGCACCCCTAATTCTTATCCGTTTGAGAGGCATAGTCGTGTATTTTGGCCTATTTTACGCCGGGTTGTGCTATTTTGTCATATTTCAGGTCCCAGGTGTCAAAGGAAAGGCTAAGCACGAGTTTTGGGGCATTCAGAAGTCATTTCGTCAAGCTGGAGCCAAAACACGGGCACACCTAAACCATTACACGGCCGTGTTCTGTGGCCGTGCTTTTACTGCCGAGAGCAAATTCGAGTTTGGCAAACATTGGCAAAACACGGGCTGAAAGCACGGCCGTGTTCACCCAAAGCACGGCTGTGTCCTCTCCAAAGCACGGCCGTGTTTGCACCAATGCACTGGCCGTGTAATTAACCCTAGCCAAAGCACGGGCGGGCTGAGGCATTACACGGCCGTGCCCTCGACCGTGCTTTGGCCACTGATGCCTTTTTAAGCAGATTTTCAGCCAAAGAGAAGGGGATTCGAGTTTTAGAGAGACAGAACGATTCCTAGAGAGAGAAAGCGACGAACAAGAGTCTCCAAGTTCCCTAGCTTGATCTTCAACACCATTGGAGGCCAGTTTGAGCTTGGAGAAGTGCCGATCAACGTCCAGGAGCAGGAATCCATCCTTCACAGTATGAATTCCGCGTCTGATTCTGCTTTTGCTTCTTTCTCCATGGAGTAGTTCTCCCATTCATCTGGGTATGGAGAACCCTAGATTTGTATGTTAGGCTTTGATTGTATGAACCCAAGTACTAATTCTATGATTTGATTATATTCGATTGAGGTTTGAATGATTGAATGGCATGAATCCTGATCAAATTCCTGTTGTTTCTGCTTTAACCTAGAATGAGAATATCTGCCTAGGTTGATAGAGCATCCTTGATTGAAGATAGGGAGTTGGTGACTTTAGTCGAGGAGCCAACTGACTATTCTGTACCGGATTTACTCCGGTAGTGGAGGTTTTGTTCTTAGGGCCTCAATCTGTCGACTCCGGTGGAGGTTAGTCGCCCGCTAGAGAGTCAGATTGAGAGGGTCTGAAGACCTTTAGTCGAGACTTCAGGCTATTTAAGAACCTTCCGCAGTATAATCTTCATAGAAACTGAACTTGGTAATTACAATCCGGCTTAACTGCAGTCTAGGGGGAACCATATCCAGGTGACCTCTCTTAACCTGAATACAACAGTTTACTTGCTTTGTTTTTTTGGTAGTTTAGACTTGCATTCCAGTTTCATTGCTAGATAACAAGAATTCACTGAGTATTCATCAGATCTAGGACCCGGGTTGATAATTAAACCCAAACCCGCTATACTACGCTTTAGGAAGTGGTTTCACTTGGCCAATTCCTGGAGTGACAGTAAAAGTGAGTCAAAGCACTTCAAGCCCATCTACTACGCGTCGAAGACCTTGAACGACGCACAAGAGAATTACACCACCACTGAGAAGGAGCTCCTCGCTGTGGTGTATGCATTTGATAAATTCCGACAATATTTGGTGCTCTCCCATGTGGTGGTCTACACAGATTATTCAGCAATTCGCTATCTGATGAGCAAGGCTGATACAAAGCCTAGGCTCATCCGCTGGATCCTGCTTCTACAGGAATTTGATATAGAGATCCGGGACAAGAAGGGAGCCGAGAATGTTGCTGCAGATCATCTCTCATGGTTGGCATCCCCTCTGGTTGACAACTTCGTGGAAGAGATCAATGACTCCTTCCCGGGTGAGCGATTGCTGGCGATGACTTTGGTGGACAGCGTGGCCCCTTGGTATTCTGACTTTGCCAATTATCTGGTGGGCAAGCAATTACCAAAGGGGATGACCACTCATGCAAAGCGCAAGTTCTTCTCCGAACTGAAGCATTACTTCTGGGAGGATCCTTACCTTTCAGGATTGGAGCTGATGGCATGATCCAGCGCTGTGTCATGGAGCATGAGATAGGAGACATCCTGTCTCAATCCCACGAGGGACCCACTGGAGGTCACCAGGGAGGAAACTGCACGGCGCGGAAGGTGGTACAATCGGGCTTCTATTGGCCCTCACTCTTCAAGGGTGCAGACACCTTCGCACGACAGTGCGACCGCTACCACAGGTCAGGTACAATTTCCTCCCGGGATGAGACACCCCAACATATTTCTGTCATTTGTGAAATTTTTGATGTTTGGGGCATCGATTTAA